TATATTCTTTATTGACAATTTATTAATTTGATAAAATATTAAAACAGTGTTTTATAATTTAGTTATAAAAAATATTTATTTGAATATATTATCTTTAGCTATTAACTTCTTTAAAAAGATTTATTTACCTAATTCTTGTAATTTTGAATTTGAATCTAACAAAAAAAGGATGGAAATAAAAGTTTATAATTTAAAATTAAATTATGAAAGATTTCATTCCAATTATTATTAATATATTACAAAACAATACAATAATTTCAAATAATATTTTGTTTAAAATTATAAGACAGTACTTAATTTATACAATTTTTTTTCTTCTCATTTTATCCATTTCATTTTGATTTTTGGTGTAACTCTACCTTTTCAATAAATATTAAAAAAAAAATATGGGGCATATAATAATCTATTATTTCAGTGAAATAGTCAAACAAAACATTTTAAAAAATTAAATAAAATTGCATTACAATATTTTGCATATGTAGCTAAAATATGATAACATATAATACATCTTTAAATTTGATTTACAAATGATAAAAAAAAGTTATTTCGCAATGCATAATGATGATTGACAAATACATTAATATATATATATATATATAAATATCTCTTAGTTGAGATATGTGACACATATATATATATATATATATATATATATATATATATATATATATATAGTTTTAGTAATAATAAATGTATAATCACACAACAAGTAAAAAATTAGAGAAAAAAGTTGTGTTAAATGAACTCATTTATTCAAGTATGAATTTTTTATTTTTAATATTTTATTGAGTTAAATTTTTCTTATTCTGAATTACATAAATATAGATATATTTACAAACAAATTCACATAAAAAAAAAAAAAGAGAAATAAATTTTTTTTCTAATTAAGATTATACCACAAACTACTAAAAGTAAGTGTTAAAAAATCTATCATGGAACTAATATATTTTCTGCCACAAATAAGTCAAATTAACTAATTTTAGTATTATTTTTTTACTCTGAATAGTAAATATAGATTTATTATTTTTCTTACTCATTTAATCTTATTATTGTTATTATATTTTTTTAATTTTAGTATTAATGTATAAATTTTTTAATATTCATTTTAAAATAAATTTTAATGAGATTAATGATAGATTATTTATATAAATTTTATAAATATAAATACCAAAAATATTTGTAATAATATTTTTTCTTTACAGACAATAGTAAATTTATTTTTTGTAAAAAAAATCAATAAAAGTTTTATATTATATAATTAAAAAATTATATTATTAACTAATAAAATAATATATTTTCCAATTTAAATATTTTTTTTTTATATGCGGATCGGGCGGGTCTATATCTAGTTCTGTTTAATTTAACTTACTTTCAAGGGGAAGTATCCTGTTTGTTGTTCATGCTTCAAGTTCAAAGGGACTCTAGTATATAAGGACAATTTAAAGTTACAAGGTTAAATTATATTTGGTCCCTATCCCTACATGAAAAACTCTATATTTTGGTCTCTACATGGATAAAATGTTAACAAATAGATCCCTACCATTTACTAAGTGTTAGATTTTGCCAAGTTATGAAACATCTTTTCCTATGTGGCATCAAGCCATCTCATCAAAGACAGTGGACAACTTGGAAAAATCTAACAATCATATCTTTAGCAAAAAGGCAAGGACGATTTGTAAATGTCTTTTGATGTAACAAACAAAATGTAGAAATTTTAGTTGGTCCTTTGCAATCTCAGAATGTCAATCAGTGTATTGTCAATAGAGATATCATCACCAGATCATTACTTACCATCCAATATAAAACTCTTGGGCCCTTTTAGTGGCACTTATGTCTTCACTAGTATTTGATAGAGGAAGAAGACCATAAGTAATAAGATTAAACCCAATAAAGCCATGCTGCATGTCCTGCATTTAAGATGGATTGTTTTCTAAACAAATTAAAAATTACCTATCGCCAATCAAAATGACACCATCATGGTCAACTTATATGCTATCCAGCATAACTACGTTACCAAATGCAAATGGAAAGTCTAACAACTGACAACATATAGTGGTGCATATGCCATACATTATTTTACCTTGTATTTTTTCTCATACAATCTAAAAGCTGATGCATGAGCTAATAACATATGATGTGCTGCCAAATATGGTTCAGTTGAGGAATTTCCCCTGGAGCAGTTATTTTTAAAGGAAGGAGAACACCTCTGAGGTGGCAAGGATCCTTGTTCATAGCCTCCTAGTGCACACGCATTGGCCTCATTCACAGTGGTCCAATACTTAACTCTGTCACCAAATTCTCTAAAACACACATCCGCGTATGCTGTGAAGTCTTTCCTACAAGCATTCATAATAAAATCAGTTACTCACGATAAAATCATTTCACAAATTTGTGCAGGGTGCATTTACTATGATTTCTTATCTATGAAAAGATGGCAACAGAAGCTTGGAAACGGGAAACCATACACAATTCTTCGACTAACCCATCCTCCATATTTATCGTCAAGTGTTTGGGGTAGGTCCCAATGGTATAATGTAACATGTGGTTGGATTCCTACAAGACAAGGAATCATCAACAAAATTAAATATATACTAGCATGTAACTCGGAAGAACCTTTCTTGGATATTAATCAAATTTCAAGAGGAAAATATAGTCTGCACAAGAACCATGGCTTATGAGTTCATTGATTAGGTTGTTGTAATACTGCAGTCCCTTGGAATTCACTTGTCCTCTTCCATCTGATAATACATGGTAACAAGATGGTCAGAACAGTTTGATCTAGGCAACTATATTAAACTGGAACCAGAGATTCATTGCACCTAAATCAAACCAAATGTGTGTCTAATACAAATTACTTTTCACATTATTTTAGACATTGATTTAAGAATATCCCTAACAACATTTTGGTGGTCTTACCTGGAATTAGCCTTGACCATGATATGGAAAATCTATAGACGTCTAACCCCATGTTGGCCATGAGCTGGACATCTTCCTGCAGGAAATCAAGGTTTGATATTTTTTCAGAACAAACTGCAAAATCATCAATCTAAAGCCAAAGGAGTATATAACATGCATCTTGTTTGCATTAATGCATATATATATATATATAATGGACAAAACTTAGATACAATGCTAAAGACAAATATTCTTCGATTAGAATTGAATTTTTATATAAGTAATATCATCATTTATTACATATACTATCAAGAAGAAACTCCGAATCTAATCAGAGAATAGTACGAACACTACCTATGGTATTGAATGTAAGTTTAATCCATATATAATATACAACAATTTCTTTTTGTTCTCTATATATATACTTAAGGCCCAAACCTTATATTTGTGATATTGATCACAAGCAACATCTCCATTCCCTTCATACCTATTCCCTGAAAATATAATTTGGAATTCAATTCTTTTAACAAAATAACAACACTAAACCTTTAAAAAACGAAAAAAACTTCATGCCTAATAATGAAGTATATCATAAAGTAAGTAGAGGATAGTACCATTTCCATTATGTGCGAAGGTATCCCATATGCTTGGCTTCCTTCCATCCTCGTTTGCTGCACCTTCAACCTTTCACATCACCCCGTTTCCAATATATTTTAAGACTTAGTCAGAAACAGAAACAAAAGAACAGAACAGTGAATTGTATCATATTATTGAAAAGCTAGAAACTACAAGAACTGAATTGTGGGAGTTTAGAGAGAGAGAAGAACCTGGTAAGCTGAAGTTGATGCACCAAACAAAAACTCAGGAGGAAACTCATCTTTGCTCAAGGCATGAGAAGAAGAGATGAGTGCTACCAACAGTAATTGAAAAAGACCAAACTTCAGCATTAAACTCAGTCTTTGTCTCTGCCACAATCAAATTCAACGGTTGTGCATGTGTCTCTACGTATCATCTATTTATAATATAAAAACTGGCCTACCAATTTCGCGTAGATTCGGATAAGACTTTTTCGTTTTTTTTAATAAAGACAAAAATATGTTATTTAAATATTTAGAACAAATACATATATTCATTTAAAATGGAATAGGGGTATCTAGGAATTAGTCGTTTCACTAAAAACCTAAACTAATCTTACACGTTATATCACTGTATTTGCTTTTGTTAACTTATTCTTATCTATTTATATTCTAATGTAAATTCTATAACTAATAGATATTTCATTCTTACTTTATAATTATCTTTTTTTTATTCTTATGCATAATTTTATTTTCTGTTTATTTGTTTATCTATTTCCTTCCATCATTTTATTTGCATATAAGGAAAAAAAAATTATCATGAAAGCAAAATATATAATTTATTGAAGAAATCAAAAAATTGTTATAAAAGTAAAATATAATTTTAGTTTGAAAATCCCAAAACATCAACTAATAAAATAAAAGAGAGAAAAACTGAAGGGATAGCATGTGTTATTGTTTTTCTCTAATTCTTCATTTTTCTCCATTTTTAACTTTAAACTCTAATTCTCATCTAATGTTACAAGAGAGGAAAATTAAATGGATAACAAGTGTTATTGTTTTTGTCTAATTTTTTTATTTTTATTCATTTTTAATTCTAAATCGCAATTCTTATGATGCAATTCTCATAAAAAAAAAAATTAAAGATAATTTTCATTATTTTTATTATTTTAAAAAATTAAATTGTCAAAGATGATATTGGTTCTTCCTTTTCATGAATGCTTTGAATTACAGTTTTTATCTATTGTTATAATTTTAATCACTCTTGCACGTAGTATTAATTTTCTTTCTCTCGTGAAAATCTAAATTGGATTTCCCATCTTCATGATTCTCATTATAAATTAAAGATAATTTATATTTTTTTTATTATTTTAAAAAAATTAAATTATCAAGATGACATTCTTTCTTCTTTTTCATTAATTATCTGATTTATTATTCTTATATGTTATCACAACCACATAAAAAATGTCAGCATAAAATGGTTTAAAGGTTAAAGAGGGAGGAAAGAATCATTTTTTAGTACCCATATATGTCTCTTATATTGCAAAAATAATGAGTGATATGTTAATAAATTATTTATACTTTTTTATATGTGAATTGAGTATTATTTTTGTTTTTTAAGTAGTATATTAAAATTTATCATTTGAAATCTATGGTGAAATTATAATATTTTTTATGGCTTTAATTTTTTTATCTAACATATTTGTAACAAATTCAAACTAATGTTACATAATTAATACAACCAATCACGCTTAATTGATTCGATAAAATTTGATTACAAGAACACCAGTTATATCTTAATTGGTATTAAATTCACATTTAATGACAATTAATTATACTGTATAATTAGATTTCAATTAGTTAAATTATACTACTATACTATTTAACCTAAAAACTAATTATTTAATATCTTTTAATTATATCTAGCTAATATAAAAAAAATTATATGCACTAACAAATATTTGGTGATATATTAACAAATTATATATTTTATATATGTGAATTATGTTTTGGATTTTCTTAAGTATTATGTTAAAACATCATTTGAAATTCATGATGAAATTATAATATTTTTTATCACTTTAATTATATATATATATATGTATTATATACATGGAATTATAATATTCATGGTAAAAATTATTTTTCCTTTAGGGTTTAGGATTAATTAAAAAAAGGTAAAAATACATTTTTTGTCCCTTATATTTTTTAATAGTGTCAATTTAGTCTCATTTTAATTAATGAAAGCAATTTAGTCCCACATATTTAAAATGTATCTCATTGTTTGACCTTTTGTTTCCTCTATTATTTTAGTATAATACTAATTATTTTTTATAATATTTTTAAAAAGTAATTATTATGTTATCAATTTCTAGTAAAAAATTTAATAATAAAATTAATTTTTTATAATCTTTATTGTTATCTGTTTATTTATTAATTTTTTATATGTAAAAATAATTTAATAGCAGAATTATTATATTAAAATGCGATGTAAGTTTCCGACATCGACAGCTTACCAAACATGTCGTTGTGTAATGCAAAATGTTGAATTGGAAAATACATGCCACTTTTATGGACCAGACATGTTTGGGCGGGTGTTCGAACCGTCCTGTACTAATTTAATCAAAAAAAAAATTTAAAAATTAATAATTATTTAATAGAGTAGAATTAAATAAAAATATATATATTTAAAATTATATTTTATAATTTAATTTTTATTAAAATATAATATATATATATATATATATATTAATTATTAATTTACTCTTATATTTATATTTGCACATTGTAGTAAGTGTTTATATGCATGGAAACAACAATGTAGATGCTATAAATAATGTGGACCTTTATTTGTGGGCAAGTACAACATTGACAAGCAATTTCTTGTAGACGGAAAAGCCATCCAAATTTCATAATTGTATTTTACAAATATTTAGAGACATACAATAATCTGATATGGTTACTTTGACACAGAACCACAGTCCACTATGTCTCCCAGTTTGGACAGAAAAATCATACTATACTTGTGAGTGGGGGTTGAATTTGTAATTAAATATGTAAGTATTAAAATTTCACACAATTCTTCTCATTTGAGAAGATATAAAAAATATATAAAATATATGAGACTCACTTCTAATTTCTCAAAATTCTCCTTCAATACCTTTTATTAAACACAGTTTTCTTTTTTAAATTTACTTTAACTCATTCATTTCCCTATTAAATCACCTTTACCAAACATAGGTTAATTCATTTTTTTTCTTTTCAAATTTCTCTTAAATCATCTTTCTCAAACAAAGAGTTAACTTAATTTAGTGCATGTTTGGAAAATATGATTTCTTATATTTTCAATTGTTTTCATGGAAAAAGTTATTTTTAATTATATGTTTGAAAAATTATAATTTAAATTAAATGTATTAGTAGTGTTTTTTTTTTTGAAAAATAAGTTATTTTCAAAAATCTGAAAATTTGAATTTTATAATTATTTTTTACATGGTTTTTTCTCTAAAATTAATTTAGCACGTAAAAACTAATTTTTTATTGTACCAAATAAAATTAAATATCTCAACATTACTTTAAAATATATATATATATATATATATATATATATCGAGACAAATAAACTTATATATATATCATCACATTCGTGCTTATAAAAGAAAGTAATATTTTCAATTCTAATTTCATATTTAAAAAAGAAATCAAATCCAAATTTTTTATTAAAAAATACAAATATCAAAACATTTGTATTGATAACTTTTAATATCTTTCAACAAATTTAACCAAGAAAAATTTATTCTGATTATAATTGATTATTAAAATAATCTAATTAAAAATTTATTCTAGACTTTTTTTTTTTTTTTAAGACAAGGTGGCCATGATATAGCCATCTAATTTATTGTAGTAGGTGGGATTTAAACACCTACGTGCACTATGTTCAGAGGTGAACATAACTTACCAGAAAAAAAAACTCTGTACAGTAACAAATTATTAAATTTATTGATTTTAATAATAATTATTATAAGATTATATTAATAATATTTTTATTAAGTATTGTACAAAAACATTTATATTAATGATACATAATTCTTAAACTCTTAACTTATTTAATATATATATATAGTATTTATTTTATAATATAAAATACTTTTAGAATATTAATTATTTAATTATAAAATAATATGCATGATAAACTTGTTTAATTGATATAATAGTGGAAAATTATATCGATCTCTATGATGTTTTTTTAAATGACACACATCTCTTCTTTAATTATTAAGTGAATATCAATCTTTTTTATTTATTTATTTATTTAAATGATACATATAATACTTAATATAAGATAACATTATTTCATTTATTTGTACACTACTAAGAGAGAGCAAATGCAAGTGTAAATAATGAAATGAAGCTTCATCTTTTACTTAATTTTAACTTCCATGTTATAATATTATGTGTGTTGTAATTTAAAAAATTTACTAATTTTAAGGAATAATTTCAAAAAACAAGCTGAAAAATTATTATTTTAAAAATTGAAAAACAATAAAAATTTTCATAAAGAAAATATTAAACATTATACATAATTTAGAAACAAATTATTGACATGTATATAATTAATAAAATATGAATTTCAATTGAAGCAAGAACTACCAATACCACAAGACCATCAGTCACATAACAGACACTTTGTTATAAAATTAAAGAACTCATCCGAATCAAACAATTTGTCCAAAGAAACAGTCATAGAAAAGATCACCACTATAGTCAAGCACGGAGCCCAAATTGAGACAATCAACACCAATAAGACTTTTATTTTGTCTCTTTATCTCAAGTTAACTAATAATATTATAAATGATTTTTAGAAATTAGAGGGTAGGTGTATGTCTTTCAAATAGACCTTATGAAAGGCGAATGAAATTTTTCTTATAATAATTATTTTAAAAGTTATATCAACAAAAAAATTTAATTAGCTTAACATTTTATGTTACTTATAATATACCAAACAATTTTTTCATAAATTCTTTATTATATAATTTTTCATTTTTTCTTACCTATAATAAAATGAACCATAACATAGTATATTTATGGTGTTTTAATTAATTATATATTATATATGATTAATTGTTATTTGTTGTAATTGTTGGTGTTTTGAAACTTTAGAGTTGAAAGTTTCTTGAGAATTAAGTTGGTTTTAAGTTAGTCTCCATTAAAATTAAGTTGACTCAGCTTAAAGAAAAATATATAAGAATTTTTTTTAAGACGTGAACTGTATAAATCATATCTTATGAAAAATTAGAGAAAATTTAGAGAAATAAATTTTGGTGCACTCTTTCAAAGTATTTATATATTTATATTTTATTTAAAATATATTAATATATACTAATTACATTTATAAATATATTTTATTTATCAATATGCTTTAAAATAATATAAATA